TTGAGTTTTTGGCTCCTCACTTCAGCCTGGCACAGTCCTAGCTGCTGTGGGCACTTAGGGAATGAACCAGCAATTGGGTGGGTGCTCTGTTTGTCTTTCTCATGCATTGTCTCTATCTCTCAAATGAACATATTAATTTGTAAATTGCACTATTAGTGCATTATCACTCTTTGAAATATACTTAGTTCAAGCATGCCACACATTGATGTTAGCTGCAGTCACTATGTTATACAATGCATCTTTTGAGCTTGTTCCTCTTATTTAACTGGAATTTTGTGTCCTTTGACCAGACTCTTCCCAATTCTTACTCCCCTTTCCTAGTGGCCACCACCCGGCTCTCTGCTTCTATGGTTCTGCTGTTTCAGATTCCAGGTATAAGGGAGATCATGCAGGACTTGTCTTTGTGTGCCTTGCTTTTTACCATTTTCTTGTCCATTTAAAGTCTGTTCTAATTACAATTGGAATAGATTTTTAGTGCTGAAAAATAATTTCAATTGAGGTCTGAGATGGGAAAAGTTAGCAAAGCAGAGGCAGAAAATGTGAATCATGGGTTTTAATAAGTCATCAAGGGAAAGGATACAACTGGTCAACTTTGTATTAAGTGCATTTTCATTATACATTCATACATATTCAGAAGATAGTGATGACTTTAAGTTCTACCTGGTTAGGCCCTAAAGATTAGAATTGAAATCAGAAGTTACAGGCCTGGCTTTCACTATCATTAATTGTTCTTCAAGCAACAACCCACCCCCTACGGCTCCTTCATAAACCGGGCTGCCCTTCAGAATCCTTAAGGCTGGAGTACAGTCACAGTAGTCAAGCATCATGGAAAATCACAATATCACACCTACAACTATCCCCTGATTTGCTTACTGGATACACCCAAGCCAATCTGGCACAGAAGAAGCCTGCATGTATAAAAATTCATTGTCCAATTACACAGCATCCTTTGTCCTACAGCACTCCCAACGGTCCTTCCTCAGCAGCACTGGTCCCTTGAGCAGGTGCTGGCAGAGTGTTTTGGAGTGGCTCCCACTATGCTGGCAGTAAAGCAATGGCAGGCACCCAGCTCCAAAGTCAGACCAATGATCTGCATATCCAGAAGCAGGATCCTTTAAAAAAAAAAAAAACTGACTAGGCTGGTGCTGCTGCTTCCTCAAAGTCCCTTTTTGCAAATATGTGGGAAGATTTAAGGTGCCAGAGTTGAAAGGGACTTGGCAAGAAAGTATTCAAGTTTTCTGACTCAGTTTTAACACCACCACCCAACTCCCTGCACCAAGGCCAGCTCTGCTTTTATCAAACTACACTAGGTCAAAGTGAATTTAGAAGTGACACCGGGGGCAGCTAGTGGTATAGTACTCTAATCTCCACCCTGTGGTGCAAACATCCCCTGTGGGTGCAAGTTCCTGTCCTGGCTGTTCCATTTCATATCCAGCTCCCTGCTTATATAGCCTGGGAAAGCAGCAGAGGACAGTGCAAGTCTTTGGGACCCAGTACCCATGTGGGAGACTCGAACAAAGCTCCTACCTCCTAGCTTCAAATCAGCTTAGCTCTGGCCATTGCAGCCATTTGGGGAGTGAATCAGCAGATAGAAGACCTTCTCTCTCTCTGTCTCTGCTTCTGTCTCTGTAGAGTCTGCCTTCCAAATTAGAAAACAGGAACCGAAATGACACCAATATTATCTATATTGGAGTGTGGTTCAGGCATTGGTTACTTGGAGGCAAATTCTCAGAGAAGCTCTTGACCAGAATTTTAGGTATCCTGGAAAAGAAGGACCTAATGAAAGAAATACAGGCTATCCATTGGGCATAGGGAAAAGAAGAGTTAAGTAGTATTAAGGGGGATAGTGCAGGAGAGAGATGCAGAAGGACCCTAGCATGCCATGGGGCCAAGTAACTGTGTGTTTAAGGTCAATGTGATTCATCTCCGTTAGCTTGGAAGAGTCATGATGAAGGCAGTGTTCCCATTTTAAAGTGGGGAGAAATCCATTTTGCCAGTGACATCTTTCTGGGATACTAAGGTGTGCCCCTGCTGTAATCTTGAGGACGCACCAGATTCAGGTCCTAGCTTGACCACACACAGGCCCTGCCTCCTACCAAACATCCCCAAATGGCTGCTACACTTGCCTTCCACATTCCCAGCAACAAGGGCTAGGGATCCTTGAATGTAGTCTGTCCTGGTTCTGTGATTTCCATGTGAAGTGCTTTTAAGTTCCCCCAAGGAAAGTTTCTGTATAAATTAGAGATGCGGTTAAGAGCTTTGTCAACGCAACCTTTCTCCCCTCACAGGCCTCCTCCTTAGCACAAGCCAGAGAATCACTTAAAAAGCATTGTAAGCTACAGGTAATGGAAGAAAAGATGAGAGAGAGACTGCAAATGGGCTCTTCAGAGTAAAGCCCCACCAAGCCATTAATGCTCGGCTTTGCACAAGACATACACCGTGGATTAGCGTGTTTATTTCAGAAGCTTTTCTGAACATTGTACCTGGCCATTTAAATTCACAGGGCATTTGTTGTCGCATTTCCCCTCTTATTAACAATGGCACAGAAGCCAGGGGACACTGGCTGCGCTCTCAATCGCCCAGAATATTGGGGGAGGGGCAGCCACTGCAGAGTGCAGGTTCTTGGCAGACCCCGCAGCAGCCCAGTCCCTCCAACCCCAGCCCTCCAGAAGGGTGTGTTTCACTTTGTTTTGTTTTGGTTGCTAACCTCCCCCTCCTGTCCTACCCCTGAAATGGTTCCATGCAGCCCACAAACTCCCAAACCCGCAGAGGGGCACTGACAGTTTTAAAAGCATCTTGGTTCTGCACTTCTTTGCAGCTCATTGGAAAGCCTGCCTGTGAGCACAGACTTTACCAAAATGATCTCAAGTTCCTTGAATCACAAACCTGTTAGAAACTGAAGGGGCCCCGGGGACAGGGAAGGAGGAGGAAGGAGGAGGAGGAAAGAAAGAAAAGAAACAGGATGAGGAGGGAGGTTATGAGCGCTGGCCTGGACGTGTGTGACACAGCCACCCACCACAGACAAAGAACACAGAGGGACGTGCTGGGGGCACAATGACCGCTGGGAGGAGGCGCAGCGCACACCGCACGGCCTGCTCGCCAGAAGCTCCCCAAGCGCAGGCAACCCAGGAATTTCTGAGTGGAAAGGGGCTATATAGTCTTCTTTTGGGGGAGGGGGAGAGGGAGGTTGTTGGGAAGACAAAGCAATCACTCCTGCCCACTGCCACACTGCCCAGATGCTGCTGTTTGTTCCAGCAGCAAACGCACACAGTGAATTTGGGCTCTTTAGTTTAGAATTTCTTAAGAAATAAATACAGGCAGGGGAGATGTGAGGGAGAAGCCCACCTAAGAGCCTGAGATTGTGCATGTTCGAACAACCCAAGTGGGAAATATCCCTTGTCAGTGTGGACAGTGAGAGCGAAGAGGACAATGGCCAGGCAGCTATCTAGATGTGCCCATGGGACCCCCTTCTCTCAGCTTCCAGGTAGGTAGGTCATTTTAATGTCACACCTTTCCTCTGCCCCAAGAAGTTACTGGACCAGGATAATTCATGAAGGATTCCTAATCATTCTGGACAGCAAAATGGATTGGGGATTGGGCAAACAGGAGGTGTAAAATCTTCCCCACCCTGGGAGACACTGGGGGAAAACACAAGAATGAAGATCAAAAAGCCCACGGGGGTGGGGGGGGAGGGAGGAACAGTGTAACAGCTCCTAGCCACACCAGGGCATGCAAGACCTGATCCCTCCGCCAGTAGAATTAAAAAAAAAAAAAATCCTCTTTGTGTTTTGGAAGCACTTACTAAATAACACCCCAGGTAATAGATGATGACAGCAATAGGGCTTGCTCTTTTAAATAACAACAGACTAGAATAAATATTGCAGCACCATCAGACAACAAATTAAAACGAACCATCTCTTCTAAGGGGAGAAATGCAGATGTAGCTGGGAGAACTGATTTCCACCCACTTTCCAGCCTCCCAAAAGGAGATTAGAAAGGGAAAAGTGAGAAGCATACATCCTGGAGGTGAGCTTTGTAATGAGCACCATAAACATTCCCAGGGAGATGGACTCCCATTTCACAAATCTTTGAAAAAAAATTTCTATGTGCACACCAGAGTCAGTCTGCAGCAAGAGGCCTTTAAGTTTTAATCGTTTTTATGCACTACAAGAAGAGAGCGGAGTTCTGTCAGTCTCCTGATGAAACCTGATCCCTCCCAAATCATCTCACCCGACTGTGATCAAGACCTTACCCCTGCCCTGCGACATCATTCAAACTCAAGACATCTTGTGGGAACCAGGGGTCAGCTTGAAAGCACCAGGTGGGTAAACAGACATCATTCAGTCTCTTGACCTTGAATAACGCAGGTTAAAGACCCATCTTTTGTGTAGAGGCTGCCATGTAAGATCACATGCAAAGCTAGGGTTGCCCAAAAGTGAGTGAACTTCATAGAACAGCTGACTTCCTACGGGAACACAGAAGTAGAAAAACAAAACCAACACTCTTCAGTCTTGTCCTTAATTTTAAGGTGCCAATTGGAAGTGGAAAGAGGAAACAGTGGCACTCTCCTCTCTTGGTTGGTATCAGAGTAGACAAGTAAGTTAGGAAATGTGCAAGATCCCTGAACAGGGCAGAAAAACAAGGTGGCTGGCATGTTTCCTCATCAACTGAGGTACTTCTTTTGACCCTTGAAGATCCAATAACTGCAGAGCCAGATCTGAATCCTATCATTGCTAGACTCAAATGGAAATGTGTATTCCATATACTCCTATTAAGTTAAAGAACGAGGGGGTGTAATGGTGGTGGTAGTAGTAGTGGTCATAGTAGTAAACACTTACATAGAGCTTATCCTTTGCCAGGCACTAACCTAAGTGTGTTAAGTGTTTGATGGCTCTTCAAAAACCTCACAGAAGGAGCTCGCTCTGTGGCAGTTAAATTGTAGCTTGCAATACCAGCATGTCACATAAGAGCCAATTCCAGTCCCAAGTATTCCTCTTTCTGATCCAGGTTCCTGCTAATACACCTGGGAAAGCAGTGAAAAAAGACCCAACTGCTTGGACCCCTACCGTCCATGTGGAAGACTTGGATGGAGTTCTGGGCTCCTGGCTTTGGCATGGCATATGAGACCATCCAGGTCTTCTGAGGTCTTGGCCACACCTTCAGGTGGGCGACAACAGCATTGCCCACCCATTTCCTAATTAATCAAGAGACCACCAATGGGGAACATCTCACCTGTAGGTTCCCCGCCCAACTAGGAGGGGTCAAGGAAGGCTTATAACCCCTAGACCCTTCCTCAAACCTTTGGTGTCTCTCTCTCTCCCTCCTCTTTCAAGAGGCACCCCACCTCCTGGCTTCTTTTCCGGAGGTGCTTCCCTTTCCTTCCCTTCCCTGCTCCCTGGTCCCTTCGCAAATAAACTTTTCTGTTTGCAACAGATTCCTGGCTTTTTATTTCTATACTAAGCTGAGGAAAGAACCCACCAGGCATTTCTGGTAACAGCATACTCCTAGTTGTAACAGCTATTTGAGGAGTAAATCAGGAGATGAAAGATCTCAATCTTTCTCTCTCAGTCTCCCTTTTTCTCTCTTTTTTTGTGTGTTTTTCCCCTCTATCTCTGCAACTTTACTTTTCAAATAAATTCATGCCTTTTTATACAAACAAAAACATTCCTGAGGAACTGAAATGAAAAGATAAGGAAATTCTTAGGGAAAACAAGGCCAAAATTCTGAGATCCATGCAATTTTTTTCCATGAACTTTTGAAGACTTGATATCTATATGGACAATTATAGCATAATTTACAGAGCATATACGTATTATTAATTGGAAAAGCAAAATAAATAAAAATACTTATAGATTCAATACTATAAGGAATATTTCTGTATAAGTATATTTAAGTTTTAACTAACTTTTTAAAAGTACCCTCATATTAACTTGTTTAGATTTTCCAACCATTCCTTAAGGTAGGTAGCATATATAAGTCAATATAAACCTAGGTATTCCTGAGAAATAAAACACTTCACAAGGGTGGTGATAAAATGGAATACAGGTGACAGTTTTAAAAAGAAAACTTGGAAATCTGCATATTTCACCACACAGAATGTTATTCCATGTATTGCTGGGGAAAATGTTATATGAAAAAAGTACATTAGGATCTTACTTTCATTTTGTTTAAATAAGACTGTTCACAAATCATAATGCAGAGAATACCAACCCCTCTGAAGAGAAGTCAGATTTAAAAGAGATTAGCATCAAAAAGAAAATACGTGGCAAAAAGTGAAAGACCTCACAGTTCCTAAAAATCCATTATCAGTTTGAAGAAGATGGTCTGTACTCCTCTTAACAGCAGCAACTCTAACTCAAAACAAAAGAAAAAAACATGAGCTTCTTAGCCACTTCTTAGAAATTATAATCCTTGCAGCTTCTACTTCCTGGGATTGTTCATAATGCTAATTCCTGGAAAAATAACAGCGCAGAAAGTGAGGCAAATGGAGCCTTGCTGTCTCTATGTTGGATTATATTTGAGGGGGTTATGTAAGAGATCCAGAAAGAAAAGTAGGAATTGAAAAAGAGGCTCCTGAATCTGATTTTTTGCCACTTACTCTTTTTCCATTCACTGGAATAAGAGGGATAGGAAGGAGATCATGTTATATTCCAAAGCCAATGGGCCAGGAAAGTATGGGCTGGAAATCACTGGTTTCCCATTATCCACACTGAGCCTGCTCCCAGACAATCCCAGAGAACTCACTGCTTTCATCCACCAAACGGCCTCTCTACTTTGATGCTTAAAAACCTGCTGTCTTTTTAAAGAAAGCTCTCGAGGTCACCTTAATCCAGTAACTCACAGTCATTTATTTAGCCCTACTGTCAAAGAGAATTTTTCATCAGTAAGACATGGCATTGCTGGGTGGTGTTAAGTCAATTTATACTGCTGAGAAAAGAGATTCCAAACACTAGGATTAATATTTCTGATATTTACCTTTGGCTAGTCCCAGAGTTAGAAAAAAAATGTAAATGTTTTTGCATGGTGTTTACAGGTTGCTGACCTTTCAGAAGCATATCACATGGCAAGGACTAAATGTTTTCTGACCATTTTTACAAATAAAGTAGATGTATTAGGAACACAGTTTGCTGCTTCTCATTGCCTTATGACACTAGTCCCTGAAGGAACTATGAAATATAACTACAAGCAGATAAGAGATGAAAATACTGCAGTCAGATCTTACTCTTCTTTACTTTCACAAGTTAAAAAAAAGCCTGCCTTTGTATTGATTTTCAGATACTGAATATACATAGTTTACCTTCTAGATAATCTTAGTGTGCATTACTCCAATAAATAAGCAAAATTTGTGAGACAAATCCATTTCTGTAAACAACCCACATCTGCCTGCACACAAACGTTAACCTGGTACTCAACTGACTCCTTGTGACAAAGTAGAAATTTCCATCAGTCCCCAGGATAGCAACCATCACACGGATGTAGATTCACTTGTTTACCCTCTCACAGCACAAAATCTTTATAAATTGATCTGATAATAAAAGGACTGAGAAAATGTTTGAAAATTATAATCTGCACATTTTGCTTAATCTTAAATTCTTTGAGTGTCTAAAGCAATCACCTTTTCATAAATTCCAAAAGTTTCCAAGCTGTAATTTAGCATTATAGTAGTAATTGTCATAAATTTGAGTTTTAATAAAATAGCATGACAGATAACCTAAATATGACTAATACATGTATCTGTACCATTGTACATAGCGTGTGTATGTTCAAGTCTGACAATAACTAATGCTGAGATAAAACATCAGTCTGTACTTGTTGTTACATGTAACATGTATTTTGATCTTCTGAATGTTGGATCCCTAAATGAGAATTGCCAGGAAGATATAGAAAGAGGTCACATCCGGAAACCACCCAGCCCCAGGCTCCACAAACCTTACTGCTTTCTATAGAACAAGGTTTCCTCAACCTTCCTCTCACGTGCTTCTGATCCTGACCCACTTTCTCTTGTCTGCATCACTGTTCGGTGTGGAATGCATTCTCCCAGCCTTTGTCCCTGGCCTCTTCTTTTGGTAACAAGCGATACTGTCCTCTAAAATTCTTTTGTCCTCAATTAACTGTCCTGACCAATGATTAAAATGTCAGATCTAGTACTCAACTGTCACATATGTTGTAACAATATTTTCATTTACTGTGATGTTCTTTCTGGAAATTATTCTCAATGATCTGGGTAAAGATTTAATTACATTTAGTTAATTCAACAAGTACCAGGGTACTTCAAATAAAGTTCATGGGAAATCGTATACATTATGAAAAAAAACTATTGCTGGATTTCAAAACTCTGTACAAAAATAAACTTAGATTTTATTCCCATTTTCCTATGAGCTTTTGAAAGCACTCTCTTGTATACAGAATTTCTGCTATGAGTCATCAATTCAAAAGTAAGAGACCAAAATCCTTGCCCTTGAGAAGCTGATACCCAAGATACTTTCCTAAATTTGCTGAACTCTGGTGTTTAACCTACATTCACTTGGAATAGACTGTAACTTCACACTATGCCATCATTTACAAATCCCAGGTCTGGATTTACCATAGATTAAGCATATGGCTGGATGGTATAGAAAAATAAGTAATGTGGATTCCCCAAGAAGTTTTCAACTAAGTCTGTGTGGAAATAGTCATAGATATTGTTTCAACTGGGTTCTTTCACATTCCAAAAATCTGTTTTCCAGGATACAATGTAACTTTATCTTCGCATGTATTTACAGGAGTGGTATCAACTCTATTGAATAACTGAAAAAGTCAGTGTGAACTACAAATATGAGGGCCTTGATTAGTTTTAGAGTTCGGTGTAAAGGGGGCTCATTTCATTTTATTCTAACTTAATATCTGGCATACCTATATATACACACATATCTATATTTGCCATTTGGTAGAAGTGATTTTTAAACATGAGCATGCAAAGTGGAAATGTAACTATATTCATGATTGGTAGGATAGTCATATTTGCTCTTTCATTTATCCTCTTTGTAGGGAATAGATCAGATTGAAATACTCAAAAGTTAGAAGAAATTTGATTTAAAAAAAGGTTGCTTGCTATTACAAATTAGAATGAAATCAAGCAATATAAATATTGCCAAGACTAATTTTTAAGGCATCAACTTGATTATATTTTGTTGAATATGTTCATAAATCCACAACAATTTTGTAAGAACTGCTAATGTTTGGAAAAATCCTTTGAGATAAGTAGGGAAAAAAAGACATGTCAAAATACTTTGGAAGTGAGGTGTCCTAGATTAAAAATATCAAACTATTTCTACATAGAATTAAGGGAACCAAACCAAACAATGATCCAGTTGAACAATGAGTAACAGGCCCAAAAGGCTAAAACCTCGATGACGTTGTCTAGTAAAGAAGAGATATGACTTAGTTTTATTCCAAGATTTTGCGAGAGGGAAAACCTGAAGGATGTTTTATTAGTGCTTAACGTTTGGCTTATGTACATGTAACTTGTATGTCCACATGTATATAGCAAGCTCTTATGCATGGAGAACAGATGCTTTTATTACCATGTGAATTCCTATTCCAACATGCTGTTAAAAATTATGTTCATAGTCAACACACATTAAACCTTCTACTTTGGGGGGGGGAGGAGTAGAAAGAAAAGTGAGGAAATTTTTTTCCATGGAGAATCACAATGGAAATTCCCAAAGTAATGAATTAGTAAATCTAAATGATTCTTTACTATAAATTAGCAAAGTAATGCAATTTTCAAAAAACAAAGCCTACAGATATTTTAAGCAATTACTTATCATATATGAACTCTTCAAACAAATCCTCTTGCAAGGACAGGGCATGAAGATTAAAACAATCTTTAAGAACATAGAGTTCTCCCAGGTTTGGCTAACAAAAAACTTCTACTTTGGAAGGCATCCAAATGAGGGAAAGAAGATGAAGGAATTAGTTTTAAGGTTGAAAAATAGATAGGGTTTCTGAAACCTATACTCTAGTGCCCAGGACGTGTATCAGTCACCTGTTGGCACTGGTCAGAGGACACCAACTGTGAGGTTGGTGCGCAACAGTTGGACTCAGAGGGTCAGGAAGACCTAAGATCTCCCATCAGTCTCTTATGCAGAGCCAGCAGCCAGCCCTACACTTCTTTCCGCACACTTCCAGCAGTGCTCCATCTAGTTTCAACCACTTTAGTCCAAAGTCCACATTTACAACCGCACACCTACAGTTTTTCTAAAGTTAATACCAAGGCAGCTTCTAGCCATCATACCTTTCACCTTCA